GACAAATTGTTAACGGGACAAGAGAAATACCTTTGCAATAGGAGCCATTTCGACGGAAATATGAACAATGCTCATAGGTGGCTCCTTGCCAATCCCGCCATGAACTGGGATGTGATAGTCAAAACCACCGCGATTGTCATAAGTTCCTCCATTGTCATCCCCTCTTTCAGAAAACACGCAGTCCATTATGTAAGCATCGACTGGGACTTCAACTGCACAGAACAACGAATTAGATATACACGATAATAGAGAAGATGAGAGACTATACCAGTTGCCTTGAGGTGGGTAGTGCTTGGAACCTCTTTCATTCTTACCGGTGGGAAAGGGCTTAGTTGATGTGTCCAGCGGTTGAAAGAATGCCTCAACCATACCTCAGGCTTCCCGCTTAGAACAGTGTTCTGTGGATTATAAAGCACTGAAACAGGTTCTCCGGCGTTCACTTCCATTGGATCCGTGTAATAAACGTGAGACTGCGACTGCAAAAATGTTTGTTTCGTCTTTTGTTTCATCTCCTCTTTCTTCTGTGCTTTGTACAGTTTCTACATAACACACACAAGTTATAAAAGTTATGGAACAAACATACAGCAATACCAACCTTTTTACGTGCAGCCTCTTCTCTTTCCTGCCGCTGCTTTCGGATCTCAGAATACACCTGCTCTTCAACATCTGCCCAATACAACTCCTCAGCAACGGGTTCGGGAACAGCCATGTGGAAATCCTGGTAGTCATTGTTGTCATAAGTTGATGCTTTCTCCGGTGGCCCGTCTGCAAACACCCAATTGAGCATGAACGCTGCCTTGGGAACAGAAACTGCAAAGAAAAAGAAAGAAAACTTCGTCAATCGTCGATGTAAAAATAATTACTAGACTCGCACCTTCAACTGAACACCAGTCTCCGCTCCTCGACGAAGAGGGCACAAGCTTTTCGACCACAGAGACAGCGTCTTGCCAATTGTTGTAGCCTCCGTGTATCCAGAGTTCTGTGCTTCGGGCAAGTGATCGAGAGGAACGATTGTAGAAGAGCTTCACTGTCTCCCCTGCTTTGAAACTCGTAGGCTCTGCGTCCCAAAGTCCCGGCACACTGGGCAATGCTTTTTGTAATACCATCCTGGCTCGTTCTCTCCGTTCAGCAACGATCCTTTTGGCCTCGTCTCTATCCGCTTCCTCCGCAGCTCGTTGCTCTGCCAGCTTACGAGCCTCTGCGGCAGCTCGGTCTTTTTCTGCTTGTTCTTGCGCAAGCCTTTCAGCTTCTTTCCTCTTCTCCAGCACCAAGAAGTTCTCAAACTCGCGTTGATCCATGCTGCCGTCGTCCACGAGAACGAAGAAGTCCTTTGTGTCGTTGTTCTCGTAGACATTTCCGTTGAAGAACACGAAGTCCATTCGATATGCTTCTTTGGGAACGTCCACTTTACAGGCCCACCAATCTCCACCAAGTTCACTTTTTTCCAACTTTAATGTGAATGGTTGCCATCGCCAGCCATTAAACGACCCCATAATCTGCACACTGTCCTCGCTTGCTAGCACCGTTATGCTCCGGTTGAAGTAGATTTCGACCTCAGCACCAGCCTCAACTTTCTGCGGGTAGTAAAATATTTTGCTCATCGTAAAAGCACTGGCATCAGCTAGTTTGGCTATCTCCCGCTTCCTGGCTGCTTCTTTCGCAATCCTTTCCCTCTCCTTGGCTAGAGCGAGCTCAATTTCCCTTTTCTTAGCCTCCTGTTCGAGCTTCTTTTTTTTCTCTGCCTGTTGTTTGGCTAGAATCTGTTCCAGCTCCCATCGTCTAGCAGCAGTGGCTTCTTGGTCTGCTCTTTTCCTACTCTCCGCCTCAGCTATCTCCTCCTCTGTTCTCCTTCTTTTCTCTGTTTCCTTTTTGATCTCCTTGATCTTCAACGCATAGTCGCTTGCATTAGCCTCCGTGACATCGTCCTTGTCTTTCACCTCCGAAACTTTGACAGTAGAGTTATCACCACCAGAGTCGTCCTCCTGCCGATCAGCAGCTTCCGTTTTTCCTTTCAGCCGACCCGAACCAAACCTTTCAACCTCTTCTTCTATCCTCTGCTTTGCAACCACGTAATCAACTTCCTGGTGCGCCGAGATGGAGGCCGATTGAGAGCGCATCTTCTCTAGAACCTGGTCCTGCTCTCCATTCTCTGCCACAGTTGGTTCTACCACTACTTTCTCCGTCCCAGCCGTCTCTGTTTCCTCGTCATTGCTGGTTTCTCGACCAGCCTTGGCCGTCTTTACCTCGAAACTAGTAGCTTCAGAGACATCGTCCGGTTTGGACGTCTTCTTCTCTTTGAGCTTTTGCTGGAAGCCTTTCTGTCGTTCACCTGTGCCAAAAGAAAAAAAAAAAAACAGAAGAAAGAACATCACAATGTAGTAAAGTAATGTATCGTACCTGCGCATACAATTGTCTTGAAATTCCTGCGCGACGATCTTCTTTCCAGTCGACACTGGAAGAATACCAGACAATATGTCAAGCAGTAGATCGATCAGGAGCATTTCTATCGAAATTCATCCCAAAACTAGCTAGAATTGTCCAGATCCATGACACTCACCCAGATTAAGAAGCGCTCATTGCTAGATCCAAGCCCTCCCGCCGATGAAACCTTCCACGCCGCGGCCGACGCCGCCACGAGCGACGCCGCGGTTGCCATGGCTCACCGCAGCTCCACCGCGAAGAAAACCTAGCAATAATCACACTGGCTTCTTCCTCTCCATAGCTCCGCGCCGTACCACGTGTTTCGTGGTGGCCACACAAAAATGTGGCTACTACATTTTAGGGCTATCCGTCAAAACTGTACGGCATATATAGTTAATCTAGCAAAAACTTTACATTGTTCTTCCGGATGTATCCTATCGAGGAGAAAGAACGTCTTCGTAAAACTTACATTTCATGACAATCCATCCGCTTCCAGATTCGCGATTCTTTCCATCATTTTCTTGACGAGTCCATTCCTCAAAGGCCCGGTGCATGACAAATCACGTTAACTAGGTGTTCGAGGGACTATCTTGGTCGCTGCAAATGCCGAAGTTTGGGTATCTGACCGCTTCAAGTTGCCAGGTGGAATGCCACAATGCGACATCAAGGTGACGCTGCAGGTTCTGGTTTGCAGGATCGCGAAATAATGTGTGTTCAGCATCTATCAGAAGATCTCCAGCTAGTCCCAAGGACGCCTCTCGTGTCCTGCAACTCGCAACTGCCAAAAGAAGCTCTTTCAGGCTGTGCTCTAATGTGGCCTGTGCTCGAGCAGGAAAGTTGCATGAGGCCAAACGGTTGCTTGATGAGATGCAACCAGATCTATTTGCTTATAATGTGAACATATGCTGAAGTCTATGGTTGATGGGAAGCTCAAGAATGGGCTTCTAGATATGGTCAGAATGGAAGGGTCACCTCTAGAACAAGTTGTACCTTACATATGGTGTGGAAAACGTGTTCATCTTTGTCACATGCACGCCTGATCTTATCACCGTACTGCTTCTGCTGGCATGTCACTCTCAGGTCCAGCTCCAGCTCTGGAGAAAAATACAATCAGTCACAGGTCGTAGCATTTCATGCTTATGACATAGGAATAGGACATGAATAATCTATTATCCTGAACACTGTTCCTTTTGTCCTCGAATGCAAGGCGTAGCTTTGGAACTATCGGGCCTCATAACCTAATGTTTGTATCCATCTAGTGCGTGGAAAACGTGCTCAAGATCGGTATTAGAATAAATAGAGCTGGCATTTGCTAAGGAAATTAGACGTCCCATCTGAGTCGAGCCGCTTAACTTAGCATTCGCACCTATGGGTTTCATTAGTAGTGCTGCTTATGCTGGCAGTAAGTATAGGAAGGAGCTAAGCACTATTTCATACTAAGCTTCACCTTTATCTTCATTTCATTTGGTTACACTGTTTTGGTGTGCTGGGGAAAAGTCTCCACTTTCTACCATCTATTCAGGTGCTATAGTGGATGCCATTCAGGTCCAGAGCGTTGAGGGCCTGCGGTCTTTCCATGGGACAAATAGCTGCAATGGATGTTCTCCCATCGATCCGCCTCATAAACTTGGAGGAACTTGCTATCCAACTTTGTTGAGTTTTTGCTGACACTCTATTGTTCTAGCAGATCAATCTTCGCTAAAGATATCTGGATACGCTGGATGGAGCTCGGCGACCAATCCTTGGCTACATCTATATAAAGAATACTGCCGACGGCAAGACCACAACTTACGGACCATTTGGCTATACAGAAACGGAAGAGTATTTTTGCTCAAAGGACGGCTTTTGGGCACTAGTACATATATGAGAGGCAATGGAGTCTGCTTCCAGGACCCATTACCATCACCACCACTTTCTCTTCCGTGCCTCCGGAGGACTTCGTGCGATCGGATTCAAAGGCTACGCGGCTGGAATGCGTCCGGCTCCAGTGACCAAGAAACTGGACAACAGAGTTCGCCAGTTCATGCGGCACAGGCAAAAACTAATCTTGCTCTTCCAGTGAAGGAGCTAGCTTTTCGCGATCGTCGCGAGACAATGTCATTTCAAAGGCTGCTACAGGGTTTATTGAGAACAAGTATGGAATTCGTCAGTCTATCATTTTTAATCCCTTCAACATGGACTGGGAGATAATCTCGATCTCCCAGTGACAATGGTAGAGAAACGAATTCATTCTCCACGGAAGAGCAAATGTAAATTCTTTGCTTGTGTTTATCCAGATCAATTATATCTGCCATACAGTTTTAAATAAAATGTATATTTTTGCAGTACAGCATTGAAGAGTAAAAAGGAAGTCAGGGTTTCATTCATTACATGGTATACAAGAAGCATGAGACCCTTGGGACGTAAATAGAATATGAATAAATATGAAATAAGTTGCCCAGATGATTGTCTAACTGTTAAGTAAATAAGAGAATATTCCAAGAATATTTTAGTCAACCTTAATAACTACGGATCTTGTATCCATCTAGTGCGTGGAAAACGTGCTCAAGATCGAAGTTGAGCCAGGAACTCGAATAAATAGAGCTGGCATTTGCAAAGGAACATCCCATTTGTGCAGCAAGTCGAGCGAGCATGTGCACCTTATGGGTTTCCTTCATAGTGCTGCTTATGCTGACAGTGAGTATAGGAAGCAGCATTGACATACTAAGCTTCAACTTTTATTTTCTTGAGATTCAATTCTTTGGTTGCACTGTTTTATAGGTGTGGTGTGCTGGGGAAAAGTCTCCACTCTATGGTGGGACTAGATGGGCAGAAAAGTTTGATGATGGTCCATCTTCAGGCATTCTGAGCCTTACCATCTATTCAGCTGCTGTAGTGGATGCCATTCAGGTGCAGACCGTTGAGGGCCTGCGGCCTTTCCATGGGACAAATACCTGCAAGGGATGTTCTCCCATCCATCCGCCTCATAAACTTGGGGGAACTCGCTATAAGGTACACACAACTTCGTTGATTTTTTGCTAATGTCACTCTATTGTTGAAACAGATCAATCTTCGCTACCCAGATGAGTATATATACAAGATCTCTGGATACGCTGGATGGAGCTCGGTGAGCAAAACTTGGGGTCTCAGCCAATTTTACATCTACATAAAGAATAGTGTCCACGGCAAGACTACAACTTATGGACCATTTGGCTATACAGCAGCACGAGAGAATTTTAGCTCAAAGGAGGGCAAGATTGTGGGCTTTTGGGGCTACGCCTCTACTACTACATATATGAGAGGCATTGGCGTCTACATCCAGGACCCATTACCACCACCATCTCCTCCGCCACCATCACCACCACCATCTCCTCCGCCACCATCACCACCGCCTCCATCAGCAAGCTGCATTCCCTATGAGCTAAATTGTGTTTGTTGCTACGAGACTCCGTCAGCCAAGTGTTGCCCAGAAGATTACAAATGCGAGAGTTACAAAGGTGAATGGAAATATCTCTCGAAATGCGTGCAAAAATACTCCTTTGATGCCTGAAATTATCAGCTGATTTAAAATGATATAAATTTAATAGAAAAACACTATTAAAACACATGTAAGTATGTTTGATCCAATTAAGCGTTTCGCTTCCATTTTGAGCGAGGCGCTTGAGGCAACGGCTACCTGTCGCGCTGGAGCAGGTAAGCACGTCAATCGAATTCCACCAGGCACGCAGATAGTGGCAATCTTTCGGATATTCTATCGCCACGTGGACATCGTTGGCTGCTGCTGATCGCTCTCTCGGCGCTGGCCCTGCGCCCCGGTAGCTCGATCCGTGTGGACGATCCTCCGGCGATGGATCCCAAGATTGCAGTGTTCGCGGTGGGGAGCTCCTGGAGTGGCGAGGCGGCGTTTGGATGCATGAGGACGAGAGTAGGGTATTGCGGCGGGAGCAAGCAGAGCCCCGAGTATCGAAATATCGGCGATCACGCGGAATCCGTGGAGGTATGCCTTGCGCTTTTTCCTTCCCGATGGATCGATTGACCTAGGGGCAATGTAGGCTGCTGCTGATCGAAATCTTTGTCCAGATCGGCTCTCGTGCGCTACGAGCAGCTGCTAGACGCGTTCCGACGCAAGTTTTTGGACAAGGACCTGATGTGGGCGAGCAATACAGGTATGTCATCTGTGAAGTTTGCCCTTTTCCTTCGTGATGTCATTCTTTTTTCACTCTCCATCATTTTTACGGCGACAGTGAGCAAAGAAAGAGAGCAAGCAAAGAGACCATACACAATGGTTGCTACAGAGATCGAGCCTCTCGAAACGTTCTATCCCGCGGAGCTAGAACACCAGGTACTAGAAGCTGGAATCATCTCTTGGGACGATCTTTGCTCCATTTGTTGACGACCACTTCTCTTGCAGCTCTTTGGCGAGCTCGCGGAAGAGGACTTTGTGCGATCGAGTGCCGCGGCGCGATTCAATGGCTACGCGGCTGGAATGTGTCCGGCTCCAGTGATCAAGGAACTGGATAGCAAAGTTAGCCAGTTCATGCAGCACAGGCAAAAACTAAGCTTGCTCTTCCAGTGAAGGAGCTAGCTTTTCGCGATTGTCGCTGTGGGAGACAATCTCGATCTCCCAGTGACAATGGCGGACATATCTGCCGTACACTGTTTTGGTGTGCTGGGGAAAAGTCTCCACTTTCTACCATCTATTCAGGTGCTATAGTGGATGCCATTCAGGTCCAGAGCGTTGAGGGCCTGCGGTCTTTCCACGGGACAAATAGCTGCAATGGATGTTCTCCCATCGATCCGCCTCATAAACTTGGAGGAACTTGCTATCCAACTTTGTTGAGTTTTTGCTGATGTCACTCTATTGTTCCAGCAGATCAATCTTCGCTAAAGATATCTGGATACGCTGGATGGAGCTCGGCGACCAATCTTTGGCTACATCTATATAAAGAATACTGTCCACGGCAAGACCACAACTTACGGACCATTTGGCTATACAGCAACGGAAGAGGCGACTGCAGCGGGATTCAATGGCTACGCGGCTGGAATGTGTCCGGCTCCAGTGACCAAGAAACTGGACAACAAAGTTCGCCAGTTCATGCGGCACAGGCAAAAACTAATCTTGCTCTTCCAGTGAAGCAGCTGGCTTTTCGCGATCGTCGCGAGACAATGTCATTCCAAAGGCTGCTACAGGGTTTATTGAGAACAAGTATGGAATTCGTCAGCCTATCATTTTTAATCCCTTCAACATGGACTGGGAGATAATCTCGATCTCCCAGTGACAATGGTAGAGAAACGAATTCATTCTCCACGGAAGAAGAAGAGAGAGCAAATGTAAATTCTTTGCTTGTGTTTATCCAGATCAATTATATCTGCCATACAATTCTAAATAAAATGTACAACAAGCAAAGGACTGAAGAGTAAAAAGGAAGTCACGGTTTCATTCATTCATATACCGTTTAGATGGTATACAAGAAGCATGAGACCAAGGAATGAATGAGACTTAAATCCCTCGGTCTCATGCTTCTTGGGCGTGACACATGACCACGTAAATAGAATATGAATAAATATGAAATAAGTTGCCCAGATGATTGTCTAACTGTTTTGTAAATAAGAGAATATTTCCAGAATCTTTTAGTCAACCATAGCTCCCATCTGTTGACTTGGCTCCCCATATATGCGGATTTGTATCCATCCAGTGCGTGGAAAACTCTGTCTCGTGCTTCTTGGGGGGTGGTACATGACCACGTAAATAGAATATGAATAAATATGAAATAAGTAGATGATTGTCCAACAAATAAGAGAATATTCCACAATATTTTAGTCAACCTTAATAACTTAATCTGTTGACTTGGCTCCCCATATATGCGGATTTGTATCCATCTAGTGCGTGGAAAACTCTGTCTCGTGCTTCTTGGGGGGTGGTACATGACCACGTAAATAGAATATGAATAAATATGAAATAAGTAGATGATTGTCCAACAAATAAGAGAATATTCCACAATATTTTAGTCAACCTTAATAACTTAATCTGTTGACTTGGCTCCCCATATATGCGGATCTTGTATCCATCTAGTGCGTGGAAAACTCTGTCTCATGCTTCTTGGGGGGTGGTCCATGACCACGTAAATAGAATATGAATAAATATGAAATAAGTAGATGATTGTCTAAGAAATAAGAGAATATTCCACAATATTTTAGTCAACCTTAATAAGTTAATCTGTTGACTTGGCTCTCCATATATGCGGATCTTGTATCCATCTGGTGCGTGCAAAACGTGTTCAAGATCGAAGTTGAGCCCGGGAGTAGAATAAATAGAGCTGGCACTTGCAAAGGAAAACATCCAATTTGTGCAGCAAGTCGAGCGAGCATGTACACCTTATGGGTTTCCTTCATAGTGCTGCTTATGCTGACAGTGAGTATAGGAAGGAGCACTGACATACTAAGCTTCAACTTTTATTTTCTTGAGCTTCATTTTGGTTGCCCTGTTTTGTAGGTGTGGTGTGCTGGGGAAAAGTCTCCACTTTATGGTGGGACTAGATCGGCAGAAAAGTTTGATGATGGTCCATCTTCAGGCATTCTGAGTCTGACCATCTATTCAGGTAATGTAGTGGATGCCATTCAGGTGCAGACCGTTGAGGGCCTGCGGCCTTTCCACGGGAGAAATACCTGCAAGGGATGTTCTCCCATCAATCCACCTCATAAACTTGGAGGACCTCGCTATCAGGTACACACAACTTCGTTGAGTTTATGTTAATGTCACCCTATTGTTCAAATAGATCAATCTTCGCTACCCAGATGAGTATATATACAAGATATCTGGACACTCTGGATGGTACGGTCTCAGCCAATTTTACATCTACACAAGGAAAGGTGTCCACGGCAATACCACAACTTATGGACCATTTGGCAAAATAGCAGGGGAAAAGAAATTTTCCTCAAAGGAGGGCAAGATTGTGGGCTTTTGGGGCTACGCCTCTACTAGTACATCTATGAGAGGCATTGGAGTCTATTTCCAGGACCCACCACCAGTAAGTATACCAAAGAGAACTATGTTTTATTTTGAGGTTCATTTCATTTGGTTGCTAACTGTTGCAGGCCACGAAATCTCCACTCTATGGTGGGAATAGATCGGCAGAAAAGTTTGATGATGGTCCATCTTCAGGCATTCTCAGTCTTACCATCTATTCAGGTGCTATAGTGGATGCCATTCAGGTCCGGACCGTTGAGGGCCTTCGGCCTTTCCACGGGACAAATAGCTGCAAGGGATGTTCTCCCATCAATCCGCCTCATAAACTTGGAGGAACTCGCTATCAGGTACACACAACTTCGTTGAGTTTTTGCTAATGTCACTCTATTGTTCGAACAGATCAATTTTCGCTACCCATATGAGTATATATACAAGATATCTGGATCTGCTGGATGTTACGGTGGATGGGACGGTCTCAGCCAATTTTACATCTACACAAGGAACAGTGTCCATGGCAATACCACAACTTATGGACCATTTGGCAATAGAGCAGGAGGGAAAGAGAATTTTCGCTCAAAGGAGGGCAAGATTGTGGGCTTTTGGGGCTATGCCTCTACTAGTACATATATGAGAGGCATTGGAGTCTACTTCCAGGACCCACCACCACCAGTAAGTCTACCAAAGAGAGTTATATTTTCATTATTTTGAGGTTCATTTCATTTGGTTGCTGACTGTTGCAGGCCACGAAATCTCCACTCTATGGTGGGACTAGATCGGCAGAAAAGTTTGATGATGGTCCATCTTCAGGCATTCTGAGTCTTACCATCTATTCAGCTGCTGTAGTGGATGCCATTCAGGTCCAGACCGTTGAGGGCCTGCGGCCTTTCCACGGGACAAAAAGCTGCAGGGGATGTTCTCCCATCAATCCGCCTCACAAACTTGGAGGAACTCGCTATCAGGTACACACAACTTCGTTGAGTTTTTGCTAATGTCACTCTATTGTTCGAACAGATCAATCTTCGCTACCCATATGAGTATATATACAAGATATCCGGATATGCTGGATGGAGCTCGGTGGCCAAAGTTTGGGGTCTCAGCCAATTTTACATCTATACAAGGAATAGTATCCACGGCAATACCACAACTTATGGACCATTTGGCAATAGAGCAGGAGGGAAAGAGAATTTTTACTCAAAGGAGGGCAAGATTGTGGGCTTTTGGGGCTACGCCTCTACTAGTACAGATGTGAGAGGCATTGGAGTCTACATCCAAAACCCACCACCAGTAAGTATACCAAAGAGTTTCATTATTCTCTCTAGGTTCATTTCATTTGGTTGCTGACTGTTGCAGGCCACGAAATCTCCACTCTATGGTGGGAGGGAATGGGCAATGGAGTTTGATGATGGTCCATCTTCAGGCATTCTGAGTCTTACAATTTATTCAGGTGCTGTAGTGGATGCCATTCAGGTGCAGACCGTTGAGGGCCTGCGGCCTTTCCATGGGACAAATACCTGCAAGGGATGTTCTCCCATCCATCCGCCTCATAAACTTGGGGGAACTCGCTATAAGGTACACACAACTTCGTTGACTTTTTGCTAATGTCACTCTATTGTTCGAACAGATCAATCTTCGCTACCCAGATGAGTACATATACAAGATATCTGGATACGCTGGATGGAGCTCGTTGAGCAATATTTGGGGTCTCAGCCAATTTTACATCTACATAAAGAATAGTGTCCACGGCAAGATCACAACTTACGGACCATTTGGCTATACACCAGGGAAAGAGAATTTTCGCTCAAAGGAGGGCAAGATTGTGGGCTTTTGGGGCTACGCCTCTGCTAGTACATATATGAGAGGCATTGGAGTCTACATCCAAGACCCATTACCATCACCACGGCCACCGTCACCTCCACCAACAACCTGCATTCCCTATCAGCAAGCTTGTGTTTGTTGTAACGAGACTCCATCAGCCAAGTGTTGCCCAGAAGGATACGAATGCCAGACCTTCAAGGGTGAATGGAAATATCTCTCGAACTGCCAGCCAAAATACGCTCTCTCCCTTTGATTTCTGGAATTAAGAGTTTCAATTCGATAATAAAGGAAATCACCTATGATAAACTGTTTATAAGGGTTTCGCTTCTAGTCCACTTTTGAGAATGCGCAACTATGAGCAACGAGGCGGACATAGTAGATTTCCGAGAACGAAAGCGGTCCAAGCATCACGATCAAATGGTGCCTCTGGATCATGGCTTCAGAAGCCATGACGAGCTCCTCGCCGCTGTAGCAATCGAATTCCACCAGGCACGCGCATAGTCTTTAAGCTCGGCAATCTATAGTTTCTCAGGTGGAGGATCCGTGTTTCTTGCTGCTTGCGAGTGTTTCGGGAAGCTTAGCTTGAAAATCGAGAGGAGGTGGGAGAAGCTGACGTGTCGGATATTCTATCGCCACGTGGACATACCTTTGATCAAATTCTAAAAGCGCAGCGATGTCTCCATGGCTGCTGCTGATCGCTCTCTCGGCGCTGGCGCTGCGCCCCGGCAGCTCGATCCGTGTGGACGATCCTCCGGCGATGGATCCCAAGATTGCAGTGTTCGCAGTGGGGAGCTTCTGGAGTGGCGAGGCGGCGTTTGGATGCATCCCCGGAGTGGCGAGGAGGAGAGTAGGGTCTTGCGGCGGGAGCAAGCAGAGCCCCGAGTATCGAAATATCGGCGATCACGCGGAATCCGGGAGGTATGCCTTGCGCTTTTTCCTTCCCGATGGATCGAGGCAATGTAGGCTGCTGCTGATCGAAATCTTTGTCCAGATCGGCTCTCGTGCGCTACGAGCAGCTGCTAGACGCGTTCCGACGCAAGTTTTTGGACAAGGACCTGATGTGGGCGAGCAATACAGGTATGTCATCTGTGAAGTTTGCCCTTTTCCTTCGTGATTCTTTCGATCTCGTTCTTTTTTCACTCGCCAGGTCCATCATTTTTACACAGAACGAGGACGAGGCTTTTCTGGCAACAGTGAGCAAAGAAAGAGAGCAAGCAAAGCGACCATACACGATGGTTGCTACAGAGATCGAGCCTCTCGAAACGTTCTATCCCGCGGAGCTAGAACACCAGGTACTTGAAGCTGGAATCATCTCTAGGGACGAGCTTTGCTCCATTTGTTCTTGCAGAAGTTTGAGCTGCGAAGACGACCACTTCTCTTACAGCTCTTTGGTGAGCTCGCGGAAGAGGACTTCGTGCGATCGAGCGCCGCGGCGCGATTCAATGGAATGTGTCCGGCTCCAGTGACCAAGGAACTGGATAGCAAAGTTAGCCAGTTCATGCGGCACAGGCAAAACCTAAGCTTGCTCTTCTAGTGAAGGAGCTAGCTTTTCGCGATTGTTGCTGTGGGAGATAATCTCGTGACAATGGCGGACAGACAATGATTCATTCTATGCTCGTGTTTATCCAGATTAACTATATCTGCCGTACAGTTTTAACTAAAATGTAGTAACCACATTTTTGTTATGGACCATGGCCTAAAATGACTACCTTAAACAAAAACCTCAAAACTCAGATTTAAGGTAAACACCCCTGCAGTATTTGCACAACCCCTCAATCTTTGAGATTGCTACTTGGCAAGGAGATGATGTGGCAAGGAGTTCAGCTAGCAGGGGTTATTAAAAAAGAGGGTTTTCGAGGTCAAGGACCATAGTAACCCCTCCCTTTACACTAGATATATAGGCTATCCCTCTTCCTCAAATAACATCATGCAATCTTTGTGAATCTGACCCTCCTTGCCACAAGTAAAGCATATTTGTTGGTATGTTTGCCTACCTTCACCCTCATCCTCACAGCTGTGTTTATATAATCCATCCCTTTAGCAATACTTATCACTACTGCTATGGGATTTCTTTTTAGACTAGCTTCTATTTTGGTTATAACTCTCCCTTTTGTTGGCCCCATAAATGTGTTCCTCACCCTTTAAGCAGGCAAAAGAAATTGACGATAGAAAGCTTGTTTAGACAATCTCTTAGCTTTATCTATATCAATGGTAGACATGGTGTAAAGTTGTTTAGTATAATTATAGGGCTGTTAAGGACATTTAACTCCATGTATCTCAATATTTGGTATATTTTTTTATGGGTTCTTTTTCCTTTATATTTAAACTTTAATAAACCATCTCTCAAGTTGTTCTTTTGATTGCTTACAAAGATTTTTAATGATGAATAGTCCATGAGCTAGCACCACTACCTCATTTGAGGTTATATTCTGGTTTCTAGCACAGACTTCTCAAGCTAATTATTTATCTTCCTCTTGATGAAGTTGCAAATTATTTGAAAGAATTTTTCAAGCCTAAAAGGCTTTTAATGTGATGCTCATAAATCTTTTGAGATTGTGAGCTAAGATGGGCTAGCATGATAAACTCATGGCTAATAAGCTTATGATATGTTTATAGATCTTTTGAGATTATAAGCTAAGAATTGTGTAAATTGGGTTAGTATGATAAATTCATAACTAAAAAGCTTGTGATATTATACTCATAGATCTTTTGATATTGTGAGCTAAAAATTGTGTAAGTTGGCTAGCATAATAAATTCATGACTAAAAAGTTTGTGATGCAATGCTCATAAATCTTTTAAAATTATGAGTTGAGAATTGTGTAAGTTGGGCTAGTATAATAAAAATCATGGTTAAAGAACTTGTGATGTGGCACTCATAGATCTTTTAGGATTATAAATTTAGAATTGAGAGAGTTAGATTGGCATAACAAAATTATGGCTAGAAAACTTGATGTTCACAAATCTTTTAAGATTATGAGCTGAAAATTGAAAGTGTTGGGCTGGCATGACAAAGTCATGCCCAAAAAACTTGATGTTCACAAATTTTTGGAGATTATGAATTGTGATATGTGAGTTGATTTGTGTAAACAACCAAAGAGAATAATTTAAGATATGATCCATTGAAGTTGGATTTGAATATGGCTAAGTGACCTTTTAGAAAGTCTAAACTTCAGAAGTTTACATTTGGTATTAGAATGATTTCAAATTCATGGTTGGTTAAGGAAATCACACCAAATGATCTATCGGGGTTTAAATATAAAGGAACAATGCACCCTTTTTTTCTAATTAATTAAGGGTTTTGAGATATTTAGGGTTAAGTGTCATTGGTTTGAATAGTACTATACTACCTCTTGGGAAATCTAAAATTCAAGAGCTTACAATTTAGTCTTGAGTAGATAATTATGAATGTGGAAGGATTGTGATGCTATGATTAAACAAATTGCATATAGCTAACTATGATATTTAAGTGTACGCAACACTTCATATATGCATAGCTAACTATGAAGTTTAAGTATGCACAACACTCCATATGTGCATGTGTGATATTAGTGCTAAGAAGGATAATTTGTGCAGTTTTCACTGAAGTATACAAAGAAGAACAAATACCTTTTATTAAAGATTGAGAACCTATTAGATAGATTGGAAAAAACAAAATACTTCTTGAGTAAAGAATTGTGAATGTGGAAGGATTGTGATGCTATGATTAAACAAATTGCATATAATTAATTATGATGTTTAAGTGTGCACAATACTCTATATATGTATATGTGATACTTATGCTAAGAAGGATAATTTGTGTAATTTCTACTGAAGTATACAGAGAAGAACAAATACCTTTTATTAAGGATTGAGAATTTGTTTAAAATACTTTTCAAGGATTTACTTAAGGTCAAGATACTACTAGATTAAGGTAGCAAAGAAAGATATTAAAAAAATAACCTATTAGACAAAGTAACTATTTAGCCATGAATTTATCATGCTAGTGCACCTTACATAAGTTTCAGATCTATGAACATTAAATCACAAACTTTCTAGACTTAAAAAATTCTCCTCTCACTGCCTCAAACAATTTATAATTTCTTCAAGAGGAAAGCAAATGGTTAGGATGAAAAATAAGCCTCTAACCTCCACCAAAATATAGACTATGGTTATGGATTACATAATTGGATGCAGTTGCTACATTTTAGGGCTATCTGTTAAAACTGTACGGCAGACATAGTTAATCATCTGGAATGAATCATTGCCATTGTCACAGGGAGATCGAGATTGTCTCCCACAACAACAATCTCAAAAAGCTCACTGGAAGAGCAAGCTTAGTTTTTGCCTGTGCCGCATGAACTGGCTAACTTTGCTATCCAGTTCCTTGGTCACTGGAGCCGGACACATTCCAGCTGCGTAGCCATTGAATCGCGCCGCGGCGCTCGATCGCACGAAGTCCTCTTCCGCGAGCTCGCCAAAGAGCTGCAAGAGAAGTGGTCGTCTTCGCAGCTCAAACTTCTGCAAGAACAAATGGAGCAAAGATCGTCCCTAGAGATGATTCCAGCTTCAAGTACCTGGTGTTCTAGCTCCGCGGGATAGAACGTTTCGAGAGGCTCGATCTCTGTAGCAACCATCGTGTATGGTCGCTTTGCTTGCTCTCTTTCTTTGCTCACTGTTGCCAGAAAAGCCTCGTCCTCGTTCTGTGTAAAAATGATGGACCTGGCGAGTGAAAAAAGAATGAGATCGAAAGAATCACGAAGGAAAAGGGCAAACTTCACAGATAACACACCTGTATTGCTCGCCCACATCAGGTCCTTGTCCAAAAACTTGCGTCGGATCGTGAGCCGCCCAGAAGGCGTCTAGCAGCTGCTCGTAGCGCACGCGAGCCGGATCATACTCGATCTGGACAAAGATTTCGATCAGCAGCAGCCTACATTGCCCCTAGGTCAATCGATCCATCGGGAAGGAAAAAGCGCAAGGCATACCTCCACGGATTCCGCGTGATCGCCGATATTTCGATACTCGGGGCTCTGCTTGCTCCCGCCGCAATACCCTACTCTCGTCCTCACCACTCCGGGGATGCATCCAAACGCCGCCTCGCCACTCCAGAAGCTCCCCACCGCGAACACTGCGATCTTGGGATCCATCGCCGGAGGATCGTCCACACGGATCGAGCTGCCGGGGCGCAGGGCCAGCGCCAGCGCCGAGAGAGCGATCAGCAGCAGCCATTGAGACATCGCTGCGCTTTTAGAATTTGACCTTACAAGATCAAAGGTATGTCCACGTGGCGATAGAATATCCGACACGTCAGCTTCTCTCGAGTTTCAAGCTAAGCTTCCCGAAACACTCGCAAGCAGCAAGAAACACGGATCATCCACCTGAGAAACTATAGATTGCCGAGCTTAAAGACTATACGCGTGCCTGGTGGAATTCAATTGCTACAGCGGCGAGGAGCTCGTTAATGCCGCGATCCAGAGGCAACAGGTAGCTGGCCTTACCTTGATCGTGATGCTTTTCGTTCTCGGCAATGTACAAAATCTACTATGTCCACGAATCCAGCGCCGCGCTGCTCATAGGCGTGCATTCTCAAAAAGTGGACTACAAGCGAAACCACTGGTTTATCATAGATGATTTGCTTTATTATCGATTTGAAGCTCTTAATTCCAGAAATCAAATGGATATAGAGTATTTTGGCATGCATTTCGAGAGATCTTTCCATTCCTCTTTATAACTCTCCCATTCCTAATCTTCTAGGCAACACTTGGCTGATGGAGTCTCGTGACAACAAACACACAACTTATAGAGAATAGGCGGTGGTAGGCGGAAGAGAAGATGGTGGTGATGGTAATGGGTCCTGGAAGTAGACTCCAATGCCTCTCACACCTGTACTAGTGGAGGCGTAGCCAAAAGCTCACAATCTTGCCCTCTTTTGAGCACTGTTGCTGTATACCCAAACGGTCCACGTAAGTTGTGGTCTTGCGGTGGACACTATGCTTTGGGTAGATGTAGAATTGGCTGAGACCCCAAAGATTGGTCGCCGAGCTCCATCCAGCGGCATAGGCCACATTAGAGCACAGCCTGAAAGAGCTTCTTTGTCAGATGCGAATTACAGGACACCAGCAGCTCTTGCAGCGTCACCTTGATGTCGCATTGTGGGCATTGGCCAGATTCACATACATGTACAGGTTTTTGGCATCTTGGCATACAAATCATACTTCAGCTTACATTGTTCCGCAGAGGAACTATCTCGAACACCTAGTTAGCCTTCCGAAAACGTTACAAACGCAGAAAGATGATGATCAAGTTATAAGATGTACAGTCTCGAAACTGCATCTGGAAAAAGATTTGCTTGGACTGTCCAGGTACCCATTCTGGGCAGCCAGCCTCCTTGCAACACCTGGCTTCTCATGCACTCGGCCTTGAGGAATGGCTACGTCAAGAAAATGATGGAAAGAATTGCGAATCTGGAAGCGGATGTGGGACTTGAGCGGCGGACTGACTGTGTGCATCAGTTCAGAAATCTCAATGCGATTGTGGACGATGAAATGTAAGTTCTATGAAGACGTTGTTTGTCCTCGATAGGATACATGACTGAGAAGGAAATGGCGCTGAATGCTTCTAAAACAAAAGGTTCGTGCTGTGCGCTGGCTAAGTATTACTTTGATTCGGTTCTTCCTCTTTTTTTTCATTTTTTCATTTTTTTCTTTTTAATTGAAGAACAGGTGTTTGTTGATTTTAACGCATGTCAGAATTGACAACACATGATCTAGTGTGGAGCTTGAAATGGTTTTCGAGAGGATGCCATGGCACAGCGTCATCTCTTGGACAATGCTGATGCTCGGCTGTGTGGTGGAGAATGGGGAGGAAGAGCTGGCATTGGAACTCTTGGAGCTGGACAATCAAGTGTAATTCGTTGCTGCTATCAAGGCCTGTGCTGCTCAAGCCGAGAAAGAAGCTGGAGTTGACAGTTGCCAAGCTCTCTACCAGTATAAAGCTAAAAAGGTTTAAGGAGATAGGGCTGGAGCTCAAGGCCACTATGACACAGACATGTTTGTAGGAAAGGATCTTGTGGAACTATATGCGAAGTGTGGAAGCATGCTCTACTTAGCTCAAAATTAAAACGAATTAAAGAAAAGTTTAAGAAGAAACCTGGATATTTTAGGTATATCCTACCTTCTATAAGTTTTCTGCTTTGATGCAATCTTTATAAACAAATATTGCAAATGGCAGAAATCCCAGCATTTTTTAAAACAATAAAAACTAAGAAAAAATATAATTATTTTTAGATTAAAAGAGAAAAAAATAATAACAATCTTGAACATAAGTTGCACCTCACTCACTTCACCATGGAAATAGATATAATAATAAGCTTACAACAATTGAAACAGTTTCAAACAATCCAAACTATTTACCATAGTTTCACAAAACTAGGAATCGCGTTATTTCAATCAATAAGAAAAATTAAAACATTATTTTTCAATTTTAGACCATATTAAAATAATTTTAAGTTTTATTTATATAGATAGATAGAGGACATTTTTAAAATCACCACAGCACCCGTTAAGCATGGAAATATGCTAATGTTTCCTACTCAATCCTTCTCTCAAGAACATAAAGAATTGCTAGAGCATCCAGATTAATGTTATTTCAATGAATAAGCAAAATTTTTAGACCAAATAAAATAATTTCAAGTTTTATTTAAATAAAGGGGCGGGTTAATAATATGAATTAGTTCTAACAGTAAACTGGGCGTTTAGGGCACCATGCTATTCTGGGCATCTTAATTCTGCGTGGTTATTCTAATCCAAGGCGATAAACGCCGCCGTTTAGTCTTCCTTCCCAAGGGCAAGGGCACGACGAAGACGACGAACAAGAGCGCGAGGATTGCAGCAACAGGTTTAGCTTAAACACTCGCGCTTTCCTCTCTCACTCTAGATTCTAGATTCTAGACCTAGGAAGACGAGCTTTAAAGGACAAATCCTCAAATCCTCCCCGCTTTGCTTTGTTTACCTCCAGGTGATGGACTCGACGCTCAATCCTCCTCTCCACGACCACGGCGAAGACGAGAGCAAGCATCGCGGCGGATCACCGGTGCTCTACAAGGAGTGCGTTAGAAACATCAACGCCGAGAATGGAGGAGAGGAAGTTCACGATGGATGTCAGAAGTTCACGGCCGCCGGAAAGGACGGAAGCCCGGAGGCGCTCAAGTGCGCGGCTTGCGGATGCCACCGGAACTTTCACCAGCAGGAGAGTGAGACCCCGACAGCGATCAAAGGTTCCGACTTGACGCAATTCGCCGACGATATCCTGGGGGTTGTCAAGAAGACGAAGCGCAAGAACACTCACCGGGCCATCAATCTGGCCACGCAAGTCCTCGAACACGTCTCCAAGCTGCTCAACATTCTCGCCCAAGTGATCGACGATCCCGACGACACTGGCAAGGTAGCAGCTAGTGGTCAGAACAGCAAAGCAAAGGCGAAGGAAGAAAAACGAACCTCTTGCGAAGAGGCGCTGGCTGTTGTTGTGGCGTCGTCCAAGGACAAAGCTCAGAGTCCGGATGATAGCACTCCAAAGGAGAAGCGAAAGAGGACCATCTTCAGCGCCGAGCAGCTCACCAAGCTCGAAGCTCTGGCCGAGAGTGTGCACTGGTCTCTGGGAAACATACCCAAGGATCAACAGGCGAGTGCTGCCATGGAGATCGGGATAACGGTCGAATCGCTTAAGTACTGGTTCCACAACAGGAAACAGAAGAAGAAGCCAACCCGGAAGTCGTGAGCTTCTCTCTCTGTGTATGTATCCTAGATAGAATTCAAAGTCGCTCGAATCGAAATTTGTCTTTTGCTCTCTTTTACGTCAATACCGCTCCTCCAAAAACTCTGGTGTCAATCAAGCTGGCAGTGATTCGGAAGAAACAATTAATAGAAGCTTACCTTCAAAAAATTTCATCATCGGGAATTTGAGGCTTCAAAAACTTCATAGGATCCGCTTCCGCATCCTTGATGTCACGCCTTCTCTCGATCTTTTTCTCGGGCATAGCGGGCACAGGAATGATGTTCTCTTGGTCGATAACACCATCGATCAACCCGTATTCCATAGCTTCCACTGCCGACATGTAACGATCTCTGTCTATGTCCTTCTCGACTTGCTCAAATGGTTTCCCAGTTATCTCTGCGAGGATCCGGGTAAAGTTGTTCTTGTGGAACATGATCTCCTTGGCCTGGATCTCAACGTCAATAGCTTGTCCGCTAGCTCCACCCATAGGCTGATGCACCATGATGCGTGTGTTGGGCATTGCAAAGCGTTTCCCCTTTGTTCCCCCGGCGAGAATGACCGAAGCAGTGGAAGCCGCTAGACCAAAGGCGATCGTCGACACTTCTGCTCGGCAAAGCTGGATCGCGTCATAAATTCCCATCGCAGCACTGCAACACCGATCAGTCAGGAACCAAAAGCAGGAAATTTTGTTTTGAAGAAAACTAGAATTACCTCACAGATCCTCCAGGACAATTGATGAACATCCGGATCTCCTTCTTGGAATCCATCGCGTCCAGCAGGAGAAGCTGGCTGATGATCGCGTCCGCCACGAAATCATCCAGCTGATGCCCTAGAAAGACCGTTCGCTGCCTGAGCAACAATCCCATGACATCCGCCTCAGCAGATTTCTGCCCGGGCGGCGCCGCCGTGCTGGCCACAGCTCCCGATGTGTCGCCATGGACGAAATCCAGTGGAGCCATCGAAATTCCCAATGCACTAGCGCTCGATCTAGCAGCAGCACGTACCGTGAGCGGCAGCCGAGATCTCCTGCTGATGCTCGTCGCGCGCAATGGCTGATCAAAGCTGTGGATTGGCGAGGAAGCGCATGCCGCCGCCGAGAGCGCCATGGACGCGGCTCTTGCCGCCATAGCCTAAAACCCTAGGCCTGTATTCTCTTCTTCCCCCTACATTCCGAGCCAGAATGGCGAGCGGATATTCCCATTTTGTTTCCGCGATCCTTATTAGGGTTCCAACGGCCATGGAGGAGGAGGGCGCTCGAATGGAGGAGATGCTCCAAATGTTGCGCTACTACGAGAAGGCGCGATCGGAAGGAATAGCCGCCGAGAATCTGGAGTTAGAGGTGAGATTTCTTCCCGCGATCTGGTATAATCTTCGTTTCTTTCGTAGGCGCTGCTCTCCGCAATGCGCCAGCATGAATCCAGAGCTACTAGTGATGATATTTCCGGGACAAGGAAGCGAGAGGAGGATGTGGAGCGGCAAGAAATTCTTCCCAAGCCTTTCTTCGTTGTGAAGACGCTCAACGGGAAGAAACAGAAGGTTTTCATCAACATTTGTGGATCTGACAAAGTAAGTTTTTTCTATCTTCTCTTGTGTAGAGAAAACAAAACTTTCTAAGCTAAATCTTCTCGGGGTTTCCTTGTTATTTCTTCACGAATTGGCAGACCAATCGTGCAGATTCCTGGGCCGGAGGATTGGGAGGAAGGAATTCCTCCATCCGTGGAAGAGGCATTAGCTTCCAATGACGAATCAGTTCACAACATTCGTCTGCCGTTAAGCTGTTCCGACCCGCTCATATCTTCCGATCATTGTAAGTTCTCAGCTCTCGAGTTCTTGGCACTGAAGTCTTCTTTTTTTCTAGGTGGAAAACCGTGTCTTGTGCACGATGTTGTCTACAACATGTCCGTTGTGGAAGTAGCAATGCGTGACAAAAGGCTGAAGATTTTCATGATCGATACAGCAATGTCATGGATCGGACAGAAGTACAGCACTGAGCTGAGCTCTGGTTTGGCCTTTGAGTTTCCTGCCTATGCATAATTCCTAACGACTTTTACGAATTCTAGAGTTTAAGCTGCCAAACATGAAGTATAAAGGAGATTCAGTTCAAAAGCAGTACATTCGTGCCGGTCCCAAGGGTCCTTTGATCAGTGAAATACCAGGTAAAGTTTCTTCCGTGATTGAGCCTGTCTTTCGTATAACCTTTTCGCTCGCTACAGATGTTGAGGCCGAATTAGAACCGTCATTTCCTTTGCTGGCAAAAAAAGATCAGCTAAAAGCTGATACCTTGGGTTCCAAACAGCAAGGAAGCTTTCGACAAGATGATGCACCTTCCAGTAACGTGCAATCGGAGGTGAAAGCAGTGCATTTGGTGACACAGACGATTCAGAACGAGCGATCGACACTGCCTCGAGTTTTGGAGAACAACGGTGAAACAGATGATCCGGCTACTTTGGCAATGGTGAGCTTTGTCAGTGAAGAAGATATAGCAAGGACAGCCAGAAAAGTCGCGGAAGAAAACACTGGAGTTAACAGTAGCAGATTAATCACCTCGACGCCAAGTAAGCTGGACGAGCAGCAAACGAAGCCTGAAGTTTACGAAGAAAGGCCAGTTCCTTCAGCCGATTGTCTCGAAAAGCCTCAGGTTCCAGCCATACAGACCGAGTACCTTGGGCGTCCAGTGGAGTATATATTCCTTCACATCTCGTTTCCTCAAGAGGTAAATTTTGGTTTTTCCTTTGCTGCTAGAGTTTCTCATGAATTTTTGCGCAGGCAAACCTTGAGAACTTACAAGTTTGCTCGAGCAACACGGAAGTGTATGTCGAGATACCAAACTACGAAGCAATGCGGGTAAAAATTCGTGATTTATATCCATTGCCTGACCAAAAGCTCGAAGTTTTTCTCCAGGTCCCTCTCATGTTTCCAGTATCGCCAGAAAACGCTGAAGCAGAGCTATCTCCAGACAATGCCGTGGTAACGCTAAAGCTACCATATCTCGGCGTCAAGGGGCTATACTGTTGCGGTAATCGTTAGAGATGGACGGCTGAGATGTCTTCCACGGCTAAGGTACGGATGGCCACGATTTCTTCTCTTTCATGGTTCTGTTGCCGCCACTTTTTAGGGCTCTTCCATTCCGCTGGTAGCAGCGCTTGGACGCGACGGTAATTCGATGCTATGAGCACGGCAGACGCAAGATTCTTGCGGAATTTGCAAAGATGCCTGTCCAAGCGGCTCACGATTTGGAGATTTCCAAGGCAGCGGCTGGGCTCTTGACAATGCAGCACCAGGAGAAGCAGCACAAGGATCCAGGTTCTTCGTCCCAGATCTCTCCTTCCGTTTCTCTATTCTCGCCATCGCCATACATCATCAACTGCAAGAGGCGCGCTTGCGGTGGCTGGGACACGATCGCTGGAGCTGCTTGGGAAGGGAAATCCAGGGAGGAAGTCTTCGCTGACGCCGTCCAAGATCAAGAAAGATTCGTCGTCAATCCGGACCAGCCAGGTACTTGTAGGATCAGCTCTCTCAACGATCAGCTGGTAGAGCTCAAAGACGCGCTGGAAAAATTTATTTCGGAGTGCTCGTCGAGCAGGCCTCAGATTTCTCGGGAGGAAGAAAGGGGCAGTCTCGATGGTGGAGGTGCCACTGCTGGGGTGGATTTTCAAGCTTTGCGGCGGAGAAACGTCCGGGGAAAAATTCTGGCAGAGATTCTTTCGTCCAGGAAGCTAACCAGCATGAAGCCAGAGATCGATGAGCTTTCTACTACCACTCCCAAGGCCGAGGATGACTGCCGGAGCTCTTCCGGATCGCCGTGTGACGAATTTTTCGATGCTCGCGATGCTTCTTCTTCAGAAGGTACGCTGCTAGAATTCTCCATTTTTTTTAGAGATTCTAAGCGACTATTTTTTCTTGTTGGTGGCGCTAGGCTACTCTTCAAACGAGGACGGATCGACACGAAGACACAGGAAACAAATCTCCAGCTCGCCGATCGACCCTGAGCTCGTCCGCCAACTTCACATGGAAGTGAAACGGCGAATGCAAGCGGAAGAGGCATTGCATATCATGGAGCAGTGTCAGGAAAACATTGTCAGCATACTCTTGTCGCCGGTTTGTCCGACACCTCCGAGATCCAGCTCTCCCCAGCCAGTGTCATCGGCAGCGACAATCAACAACGGGCTTGCGAGCTTGATTGAAGAGGACTGGCAGGACGAGAACTCCTTTCGAACAGTCATTGCGACAGTGATCTCGTCGGCTCTCCTTAGAGGCGTGATCCGGCCGGACGAAGCCGAGGCGCTGGAGAAGCTCCTGGAAACTAAAGACCGTGAGAGTTTTCGACTGCGGAGGAAGCTAAAGTTTTTCGAGCACGTCAACAACGAGTTGTCTCGCAAGAACCAGGAAGCCACAGGTAAGTTTTCCGTTTAAGACTCTCTGAAGTGTTTTCAAAGGCCTACCTCAGAACGCGCGCGGAGAATCAGACGGAGCAGACAAAAGTGGCTAAGCGTCTCGGCGAAATGCCTTGCGGTTGGAGTTGCCATTGGAGTGTCCGGGACTTTGCTCTACTGGTACTTCCCTTGGGACAGGCTCAAGTCTGCAAAGAAAGAAGTCGAAGCTCCTCCGGCACAGACATGACTACTAGGTTTGGGTAAGTTACATAGAACGCCAATGGGTTGAGGCTGGCGGGCATGGGCTTCGTCACCCCGAGAAGACCGCGCTTGTTAAGTAAGATGGGAGCTCGAGGTGTTGCTACTGTACGCGAGGCAGTGGCTCAGGAAGAGGAGGTAGTGGCAGCAGGGGACGTCAGGATACCGTTTGGACAGCACCAGGGACAGCCTCTCAAGTCTCTTCCGGAAGGCTACTTGAAGGTCCTTGCGCGCATGGCGAGATCAAAGTGGGGGTTGCTAGCGGAGGAGGTGCTCAGCGAACGGGGAAGCGTGGATGGGTGCAGGCAGAAGGCGAACGCAATCTTAGAGCAGGAAGCCTTTGCTCGCCTTCTCAGAAATGCCAGCAGTTTAGAGGCGGTGGAGTTGGTCCGTGCCAGGATCGACGAAAGCGGCGTTCGTCACAACGCCGAGCTGCTCAACGTTTTGATTCGAGTCTACGGCAAGTATGGATGCCTGGTGGAGGCAAAGCAGGTTCTAGACGGCATGCGCTATCAGAATGGAGAGTCGTGGAACACCATGATCCTCATGTACGCTCAGAATGGACGACTGGAGGAGGCCAAGAGGACTTTCGATGCAATGCCAGTTCGAGACGCCGTCTGCTGGATCACGATGCTGAGGGCTTATGCCGCGTTCGAACTTCCAGGACTCGCCAGGGTAGTGTTTGAAGCCATGCCAATGCACGACTTAGAATCAGCGACAGAGATGATGGAGGTTCTTCTGTCGAAGGAGGAAAGACATCGAGTGAAGCTGGTCTTTGACGAGATGGTGGAAAAAGATGTCTGCGCTTACAACAGTATGCTTCGTGCATATACCCAGGAAGGGCATTCGAATCGGGTGAGAGCCACAGCGGAGAAGATGCCAGAGTGGGACGTGGTGACGGTGAACACCATGCTTCAAGCGTTTGCCAGTGAGGGGTCTCTGGAGAACGCCGAACGATTGTTTGACGAGTTTCCTGAGCGCAACGAAGAGACCATCAGTATTATGCTGAGAGCATACGCCGCGTCCGGATGCTCTGAAGCAGCCCAGGCAATGTTTGATCGGCTTGTACGTCGGAACGAGGAGCTCTGGACATTTCTAGTCATCGCGTACTCCAGAGCCGGGCAAGCAGCGGACGCAAAGTTGGTGTTTGACAAAGTTCCTGGCAAGAGCGACCTTTCGTGGGCAGTCCTAACTGAAGAGTACGCCCAGAACTTGCAGCTGGAAGATGCAGAGGCCGTGTTTGACAAGGTTCCGAAGTGGAGCGTCCGATCGTGGATTGCTATGATATGGGCCTACGCTCAGAGCGGTCACGAGCAAATGGCCCGGATCATTTTTAACAGGTGCTCGACTTATGACGCGGGGGTCTGGAACGCATTCATTGCAGGAATGACTGTGCTAGGCCGTGCCAGTGATGCGATTCAACTTCTCAGAGGTATGAATCTGGAAGGTTTCCCTCCGGATAAGTTTACGTTCCTCAACCTTCTCAATGCTTGCAGTGCTGAGTGCCTGGCCAGGCAAGGTGGTAGTCTTTTCAAGGAGATGGTTGCTGATCATGGCATGGCTCCGTGGAAAGATCACTACAGTGCAATGGTCGAGTTGCTGGGCCGGGCCAAGTATTTAAAAATAGGACAAGTTCTCGCCAACAGCATGCCATTCGAGCCGGATTATGCAACGTGGAAAGCTCTCTTTCATGCTTGTCGGCACCACCGAGACTTAAAGCTTGGACTGCGAGCTGCAAAGGAGCTTATTCTCTTGGATAGACACAACGCCCTGCCGTATACTCTGCTAGCAGAATCATATGCAGCAGCTGGCAAGCAGGATAAAGTGGCTGTCATCCAACGCGTGATGGAGAAAACTGGAATTAAGAGAAACTATGCTGCAAGCTGGATACTTGTCAAGGGCAGGTTCCAAAGCCTCATGATCGGAGATGCTGGACATCCGGAGAACAGCGAGATTCGTGCTCAGCTCAGGGAGCTGGTTGACAAGATTGAGAAGGAGGGATACAAGCCCGACACAACGCTGGTACTGGATAAGAACATGTCCGAAAAGGAGAGGGAGGACAGTTTACTTGATCACAGTGAGAAGCTTTCGCTTGCTTTCGGCATGGTCAGCACCAAGCCTCGGTGCCCGCTTCGAATCATCAACAGCTCGAGAGTATGCTCCGACTGCCACAATGCTCTCAGGTTGGCGTCGCTAGTAACTGGCCGGCTCATCGTTTTAAGGGACGACTCTCGGACTCATCACTTTGAGCGAGGCAAATGCTCATGCAGGGACATTTGGTAAGAGCCGATGTTTCTTTTCGTGGTATTAAAAGGGTTTCCTGCAGCACGATGCGGTGAGATGGAAAGTGACACGAATTTTACACCTGAAGGTGCCTTTCACCAGAGGAACAGATCGATATTTACATTTGCAACGTGAGAAAACTGTTCCTCGGGCACGGCGTGGCTGGAAAAGAAGGGAAAAGTCCTCGTTCTCATTGGAAAGGGATTGGGGTCAGAGGAAGCGGACGAGCTGCGAATCTTGCTAAAGTTTCACGGCATTGGGAGGCAAGATTTTTCTTCCATTTTGATGGAACCTTCTGCCAATACATGATTTGAGGAGGAAGGGAGGAAAAGGTCGGCATACGTTCGTACGTATGGTAGTGTAATCGAGCACTCAACTTGGTTTCGACGGTTACTTCTAGCTATACAATTTCGGCACTCCGTTCGTCGCTCGTGTAGTAAGAAACTTCTGATGGTGACAGAATGCGGATCCCTCGAACAGAGCTGACGAATTCTCTGCAAGCAAGTAAAGTAAGTATCCTTTTCGTTTCTGTTTTCTTGTCTAATGAATACTAAATGTGACTTACTCCCAGGGATCATCGCCAACGAGCAACAGATCGTTCTCCTTGTCCACGAAAACGAGCTGCCATCCGTTCCTCTGATCGAGTTGTCCATCCAATCCAAACATTCTCGACAATTCGGCCCGGAGTTCGACGTAGTTCTTGAAACGAGCCACGTCTACGGCCCTTCCGATCGAGCCAAGCTTGTACACCTGGAAGTCGATTATCACGAAACAACGATCAAACTCCGAAAGGATAAACTAAGAAGGCAGGAAACGACGGGCGGACCTTTGTGAAAGTTCTTTGACGCTGATGCTGAAGCTGCTGCTGCTGCTGCGGAGGCTGGTGGATCGGTTTGGGCTGTTTGGAAGAATTATCAGCGACAACACAACTATCTGGTGAAGATGACGAGACAATGTTCTTCAAGTCGGCAATCACCTGATCGACCACCGCAGGCGACGGGCTCAGAGGCATGTTGTTCTTCACGGCGATGGAACTCGATATGCCTCCCTGGCTCCTAAAATTCCCGGAGGGTGGCATCATCATATGAGAGCCGTTCGCAACACCGGGACCAATACTGAAACATCCCCCGCCGCTCGTTGTTGCAACTGGAGTCTGGGGATCCTGCTGCAAGATGACGCTGTTCTCTGAACTCATGAGCTCTTGGTGAAGATGGTGGTGGTGGTGATGAAGCTGCTGCTGCTGTTGGTGGTGGTGATCCAGCGCTGCGGTGACATTTACGGTGCTGTTGAAGTCACCACCCAGCCAGATTCCTGCTCCGGACCCAGCCAAATTCGCAGCGAGAGCTCCTGGAGGTGGCGGCGACGCAAACCACTTTGTGGTGGCGGTGGAAGGACTGGATTTGAGGGACTGCTGCTGCAAGTCCTTGAAATCCGGGACACTAGCAGTGCTCCTCATGGGGCTGGAGGACATGGTGGTCACAGGCTTGCTCACAGGCTTTGGAGGTGGAGTGGAGGGAAGAATCACAGCCGGAGGTGGTGTGGAGGAGGAGGATGGAGGATTGATGAGGGAAGAGGGGAAAATCACAGGAGGAATGCTCATCATCAGCTGTTGAGAAGGCATCATCATGATCTTGGAGGAAGAACAGGAAGCTAATGGATCCACCAGAGCTACATCACTGGTTGTGGAGATTGAGGAGGAGAGTGGATGCAAAGATGGGGGATACAAAGATCTGGTGTCAAGCATGGAGAGTGGGCTGTTGGTGGTGAAGCTGGGATTTTGGTGGGATTGGAAGGATTGTGGTGTGCTTGGAGGATTGTTGGTAGCACCACCACTGCCAGTGGTGATTGTGGTTGTGGTTGCCACTGGTGGATGATACTTGTGGTGCTGCTGGCCAAGTTTGGAGGTGTCAATACTGCTCCTGATTTCTTGAAGGGCGATTGCTGCCATGGCCCTTTGCTGCAAGCTGAGAGCAGCCCCTGCTTGAGCTGAAGTTGCTACCACTGGGATCTGATCACTTGAATCTCTTTGCTGCTGTTGTTTTTGGTGCTGCTGGTGTTGATGTTGTAGTTGTTGCTGCTGCTGCTGCTGCTGATGGTGATGTTGGTGTTGTTGTTGCTGATGTTGTTGTAATCTAAGAAGCATTTGGTGATCTAGAAGTTGCTGCTGCTGTTGCTGCTGCTGCTGCTGCTGCAAATTCATACCTTGGGGATCTTGAATCCACGAGACTCTCGACATTTTCCTCAGCTCCTCGTCGCTCGAGATACTGTTCTTCCGCTTCCGTGTGGGACAGTCCATGCTGCTGTCGCTGCGGTCTTTTCAGTGCTCATCACTAGGCACTAATGACGATGATAAGCCGTGCTCTCTTGTTGTGTGTGTGTGTGTTGGAGAGCAATGCGAGCACTTGCCGGATCAAGGCATTTGCTGCCGGATCGCCATTATGGGATGAGCAGTGCCTTGCCTACAAGCACGCACGGTTTGGGGATTCTAGACCTCCTCGCAAAGGCTAGAGTCGGGTACACACACACACAGAAGGAGACATACACGCACAAGACAAGCTTATATGATCTTTCTTTTCATCTATCTTATTTTCTCTCTCTTCAAATCTTGAAACTCCTTTTCTGAAGAATTGCTGAGCTTCTGCGCTGCTGCAGTCAATTCCAATCACAGCGCTTTACTACTACAAGATATGCCTTAGATGCAAACTCTCTTCGCAATTGGGGTTACATGGAATGCTCTCTTTCACGGGATGGATCACTGTGGATTGGATGGCTTCCAAAACAGACACGCAATTTCCAAGTTGAGTGTGTGTGCGGGCGTGAATGTGGGGACATTGACACCACATGAATCAAAAAATTGACACCTCCCAGGAGAGCAACGCTGGCTGCCTGCCAACTTTGAATCGTCCAAACAATGGGGCTTTGATATCATCCATCCGTACCGCGTCGGTGGATGGCCCTGGCATCTCTCTCTCTCTCTCTCTCTCTCTCTCTCTCGTGTGCGAATTTCCTGGAAGAATTGGGTGAATGTTTTTGCTCTCTCCATTTCATTGGTGAATGTTTTTACTACATTTTTATTCTTTGTTATTTGCTCCTTTATTTTGGCTGAAGGGATTGCTACTGGCTCTGATTGTGCCCTACAGCGACACGCACGTCTCTTGTTTCCCTTACAACGCAAAATCACCGACTTCTAATCTCTCTCCCGAAATCCTCCTCCACTTACTTGCAAGCACCGGTCCACACAACCTTAGCAAATATCAAAGCTCGTCTGCTGGCCGGGAAGGCCAACGGGCATTTTGTCTTTATGGTTGCATGTAGCGCACACCAGACTGCGCAGCTGTATGTTGGGACCCCACGAAGGAAAGAAAGTGAAGACTTTCATAAACATATAAGTTGCTGTATTACAAACTTAACCAATATTAGCCATCGTTGGAAAATGAAAGAAGTTGGGTTGGGAGACTTGTCCTTGTTTGCTGCTGTTTGTATGTATGTGATTTAATAAGGCTGTCCTGTTTCTTTTGATATACATATATCATTTCTTATTAGTTTTTATCTGGATCCGGCCTGGTCCTCTTGCTGCTCCTTCTGCTGCTGCTGCGGCTGCTGGAATGCCCTTTCAGGGCAACTTCTGTCCACTGGCTGGTTGATGATGGGTATATCACTGGTGGGTTTCCAAAAGAAATGCTACGATTGTCGGGCAGAAGTTGCTGCAGTTGCCGCCATTGAATTTTGCTGATTACAACTCAATTACAGAGGGAAAAAGCATGAGCCTGACAGCATCTTAATCGATTGGCCGTGCACAGTTGCACAGTTACTATTTTGGCACGGGTTCTTGACTTTTGCAGTGGGATTTGAACTGGATGACTAGCTGATCACGCATGGGTGAGAAAATTTGCAGCAATCCATCCGTTGACTCTTTCGCAACTTCTCTAGGCGTTGTTTAAGCTAGATTTCTGTGTCGTTTCTCAGGTGACAGGAAAACAAAGCACGCAAGCAAGAAAGCGAGAAGAACAAGCAAATGAGGGACAAAAGAACCACACACTGTGGCTTTTGTTTTTATCACACTATTACAATATTGGAGAAAGTGTTTTCAAATCGTTAATGATACTTAATTTCGCTTCTGCAAGCCTTCGTGGAAGCACAAAAGCCCCACTCCCTCCAACATGGTTTGGGATTAGAGGCCGGTTCTTGTCGGAACATCGTTGAACTTACAAGAGACAAAGCTGGAAGTTGGTTGTTTCGTGATCATGATCCCATAAGCATTGCTGCTATAAAATTTGTATCCTTTCTGGTTACACAGAAATATAAATTGTATAGGTTGATTCATCATCGCCAGACTTTTGACCAGTTCTCGTGAGACAAAATCAAGTTTCATAAAAAAAAAAATTCTTAATTTTCATCGTGTTCTTCTTGTTTTGTTGATATGCGTCGTCTTCCACGTACGTAGCGGGACATATCTCATCTAGCTGACGAAAGAGAGCGAGAGAGGAAGACAGCTTCAAATTTATTTTATATTTTTAATTCTTCGATGCACAACAAGAGCGTTGATGATCTCCCTATCAATTAGCTTGTCACAGTTTCAAAAGTTACTTACTTGGAGTCAAACTGATGCCAAGTTGGAAAGTCTCCAGAAGTCAACATCATGAAACCCGAGTGGATATGACTGTGCTAGCTATATAGAATGGCATTCATCTCTCAATCTTCTTGATCTTACATCTCTATCTGGGGGCCACTCTTTGAAATCCCTTGGCTACAAAACCTCCAGCAGTCCCATGGACAGCTCAAAGCTCTTGTGGGCTCCAGTGGCTTGTCTCCTTCTGGAATTTTCTGTCATTGTGGTAGGTTAATTTACATTGAGTTATTTTTATTTGAATTTTAGATAGAACTGAAGCTGAATTATCAAACTTGAAGAATATGTTTAATTGTAGTTGCCTGGATGGTTATATTCCATAATGTTTTTAAAAGTATCATTCTACAATCTTACTGTAAAATAGGGTCTCTTACAGTAGAGACATGTCAAAGGCAAAATCCAAGTCATATGCCAATCTTTAAAAGCCTAAGTGGAACTCAAAATATAATATAATAATAACAATAATTTATTTTAATAATAATTATTATTACTATTATTATTACTGGTTTTACAATTTCCATCATGTTTAGTAAAAATACACATTATTCCATGTTTATAGTAACTGAGGGGGGAGGCATACCTTGGGTAGGGGGCATGGTATTGCAATATATTTCAATTTAAAAAATATGTGTGTTTGAATTGTTTAAACACACATGTTTGACTCACAAAATAACCTTTTGGTTGCCACTTTTTTTTCAAGACATATATATATTACCATGCACCATATATAGATTCTTAATCCATGTAAGTTTATTGCCACATTAGCATCTTCTTTTTTAAATTTAGCAAGAATAGCAAGAATGTGTGGCAAAATGATTAATTTATCAGCCTGATAGGAAGTGCAACTAAACTATGCATCATAGACACTACCCACAATTGGCAATAAGTCTCCACATATTGGTTAATATCCACTACCATCTGTGCCAATTTAGTAACACCATTACCACACTAGAGTGTTCAATTAGGGCTCCTGATATTCTGGGGGCACTAGGCATGCACTCACAATCTTAACAACTACATGCACTTAGGCATCAATCTAAAGTCTAGCTGATCTCTACAAGAATCGTGAATGTAGCATGTATTGTGAAATGGTGCACAAGCTCTTCACTAAGAACAATTTTAGGAGAATGCTTTATTTCGTTAAAGTGGAACTTATTCAGTAAACTGGGACATTAATTAGCATGTGTCCACATGCCATTTCCTAGTACTTAATTAATATTTATTAATATTTCTATCAGTG